TGAATCAAGAATGAATCATAAAAAATCAACTATGAACCATTAATAAATCAACTATGAATAATTAATGAATCAACAATTAATTATAAATAAATCAACTATTAGTCATTAATAAATCAACAATTAATTAACAATGAGTCATTAATGAATCAAGAACGGATCATAAAAAAAGCAGCTATGAATCATTAATGAATCAACAATGTGTCATTAGTGAATCAACTATGAATTAACAATGAATCAATAATGAATTATAAATAAATCAACTATCAATCATTAATTTATTAACAATGAGACATTAATGAATCATCAATGGGTCATAAATAAATCAAGTATGAATCATTAAGGAATCAACAATGAGTCATTAATGAACCAATAATGAACTGAAATATTTGTCAATTGGTTAGGAAGCGTTCCCAAATGATGTCATGTAGTTTTTTTTTAGATTTACCCCCCCCCCACCCACCTCTACTACAATTTCACGCAATTTTAGATGAGAAAAATATATTATTTTTCGTTTAGGGTAAGTGTGCCAATTATGGCGCGGTTCTGGTTTAGCCGTCTTTGAAATAGAAAATTCAAAAATTATAATGAAAGAAGTAAATTTATGGCTTATTAAACTAAAAGCCCGTGTCATATAGATAATAAAACTTTTATAAAAACTTTATAAAAATTAATTATTTAAACAAAATTAAAGCAATAAGAATTAGGATTAAAAATGTCAATTATGGCGCGGTTGAGTCAATTTCGGCGCGCCAATTACGGCGGGGAAAATAACGTGTATTTAGAGGTTGTGTTGCGCGCCATAACTGGAGCACGCACATTCAATGAAAATGTGCCAATTATGGCGGGGCACAATTTTTGTACTTAAATAATTAAACCAATAATAGTTCAAATGTGTTTTTTTTCGTACAATTATATCGAGTAAGGTCGAAAATAACTTTTTCTATCATTTTCAAATAACTATATTATTCTAAAATAGTAAATAATTCTATTTTTTACAAAGTCGCCATAATTGGAGCACCCGCCACAATTGACACACTTACCCCAGTAGAGACCCACTTATTAGTTTGAACCGTATTAATAGTGGATACGTTCATACGATTAAGTAACATAAAAACATTATTTTCCCCTTTTTGAAATGAAAAGTCTTTCAACGTATATTCGTCCATGATCTGGTGTATCTGAGGGAAGTTTAGCACATATTCTGCATTGCGCGTGTTTCAGATTCTGTACCTAACCTTCCGCGCAACATCGGTCCCACGGTTTTAAAGACTTCTCGTTCTGGTGTACAGAATTACAGAAACCAAACTTTTAACACATATACTAAAGTTTTAGCACAGATGCTGTTCTATTTTATCTCAGCATCTGAATAAAATCAGGGAACAATATCTAACCCTCATTTCGTGCGGCTGCTGTATCTGAGTTCAGATGCTGTGCTAAACTTCTCTCAGTGTAATTTTGACTATTAATTTTTCTCTGTGTATTTATATAGACAAGACAAATCATTAACTAATAAATTATTATTCGAAAAATTAATAAGAAATTAATCAATAATGAATCTTTAAGGAATTATTTAACCGTAAACCATTAATGAATCAATAATAAATCATTAATTAATCACCGATGAATCATTAACGAATCAACAATGAGTCATTAATGCATCAACTATGATTCAACAATGAATTAATATCAACTGATAAAAAACTACTTACATTTAATTGTAATGTATATTTTACAATGATTATATAATAAGGAAGCTCTTAAAGTAAAATATCCTGATATGTACATGTCTTGTAGAACAAAATTTTCAAGACTCGTTAAAATAAAATATTTGTAAATTTTAGTGGACCCATCTATTAGGTTGACCTTAAACTATGTAGAAAAATATAGTAGAGAGCAATGCCCGCGAAATTAACAATTTCAAATATACGCGCCATACCCGACTGCAGCGCTAGTGGCGGCCTCGCGAACTAATTTCAAAAAACGCGCGCCATTCACCGACTGCAGCGCTAGTGGCGCCTCTAGCGGCAGCCTTGAGAACTATCGTGAGGAACTCACTTTGCTTATCTACTCATGTTAACAGGGGGAGAAGTCGCTCTCGCCACCTGGCGGTGAAAGTATATGAACTGTGGTATTCTGTATCATTAATAAAAAAAACCACGTGAGATCCTATGTAAAGGGGCTTGTATACCTCCTCCGTTCTAAGTACAGTCGGGTCCCCATACTGTTAGATTCCAAACTGTTATGTCCTCAGTAGTGTTATGTTTTTGCATAACCTCCAAATTCAGAAGTGTTAGGTGACGTCACGTTACGTCACTAATTTTCAGGGCCGTATTCTTAAGACAAAGGAAAAGGGTGCATATACTTCTAGGCCAAACTTGAGGTGTATATATTTACGTTCCTGAAAGGTGCGCAGTAAGCATAATTTGAGCACATAACAGAGCTGAGTCTGGAGAAGTGGGAAATTTCTGAAAATGTAACAGTATGGGGACCCGACTGTATATCAGAAACGTCCAGCGTTTTGATTGGCTATGCTCATAGAGAATTTCCAAAACATTAAATAGAGAATTTCCAAAAAATTTAATGTTTTGGAAATTCTCTATGAGCATAGCCAATCAAAACGCTGGACGTTTCTGATTATACTCAGAACGGAGGAGGTATACAAGCCCCTTAAGATCCAATGTGGAAAATTATATGGGAAATAATTTACGATATCACCTGGGATTTCATATAATTTTCATTTCTATGTAAAATCCTACGTAAGATCCCATGTAATTTCCTATGTTATTTCCCTCATATGATACCATATGGGATCTTACGTAGGATTTTACATAGGAATGAAAATTATATGAAATCCCAGGTGAGATCGTATATTATTTCCCATTTAATTTTCCACATGGGATGTTACATAGGATCTCACGTTGTTTTTTTATTAATGATACAGAATACCACAGTTCATATACTTTCACCGCCAGGTGGCGAGAGCGACTTCTCCCCCTGTTAACATGATTTTTTAACACTATATAGGGGCTTGTATACCTCCTCCGTTCTGAGTATATTCAGAAACGTCCAGCGTTTTGATTGGCTATGCTCATAGAGAATTTCCAAAACATTAAACTTTTTGGAAATTCTCTATGAGCATAGCCAATCAAAACGCTGGACGTTTCTGATATACTTAGAACGGAGGAGGTGTACAAGCGCCTTATAACTGAGAGTTTATAGCTCAGAAGAAGTGTTTCAAATTATCGAATTTTTTCTCTTACTGATGATTTGAAATGATAATACAATTTATTATTTAATTTTTAATTAAATAATTTTTAATCCTTTGAAAATTCTCACAATGGATCCCTTATTTAAACACATATCAAATGTTTTGTGAAATCCTATGTGAAATCTTATATATGAAACATGAAAACCCATATGAAATCCTTTATGTATTCTCACATAGGAATTCATGTGGATTTTTATGTAGATACACAAACTCAAATTCCCACATGAATTCCTGTTTCAAATCTTGTCCCAAATATACATGTGCTTTTACATGGAATCCCATGTGAATTCTTACGTGGGATCTGGGATTTTATACAGGTTCTTGTACAAGAACCCACGTAAGATCCCATGTGGGTATTTTTAATAGGAAGCAGCGCCACCATGGCTGAGACGTCTCGGCGCTCTAATTTTTTTCGGTGAAAAAGAAGCCGCGAATATACCCACATATTAAAAAAAAAGATGTCTCCATTATCGGGACTGTAAATATTTAATAAAAATTAATTTTTTTTATGAAGAACAACAATATATTTACCAAAATATAAAAAAAGAATCATCTCTTAGAGCATTATATAATATAAAAATAATAATTTTTGACACCACTGCAGAGTTGAATCTCAAACCAAGGTGAGCCATCTTGAACTTTTTTCAGACAATAAATTTTAAAACATTTTTATTAAATTAATTAATAGAAAAATAATCAAAAATATGATACAAATTATAATGTCTTATGTGTCAGGTTCAAGGAGTGATTTTTTAGTCAAAATTTTTTTATATTATTTGAAATATTCCTTAAAATACAAAATACCTTGATAATACCCACACCCGCGATAATACCCACTTTTACCCTAGGTTTTTTGATTAAAATTATATAACTGAATTTTTTTGAGGTTGCAAACATGCAAGATTTTACTTGGGAGCAATGGGAACAATCCCCTTGCCCCTCACCTCGGCATAGACAATCCTTAAAAAGAAAATCCTTTCAATAAATAAGAAAAGTGTAAATATGTAAATTTACTTGAGTTTTAATGAAAAACTCTTAATTTCCAAAACTTAGCACTTGACAATTTATTTTTAAAAATAAACTACTGAAAATAAAATTACACACTAAGGAAATTCTTCAAAATTAATTTCTTAGTTCTTTAAATTTTGCATGAAATGTGTTGTACTTGAATTAATTTTAATTTTTCTATTAAAAGTTATTTCATAGAAAAGAAGAAAAATATCTGAAATTTCTTTCCTTAATGTAATTTGAATTTCTCTACAAAAGAAAAACAGCCTATTCATAATTAAGAACCTTATTTAAAATTAAGATTCCTTAAAGATGCTCACACACTGAAAAAATGTTGAGTACCGTGCAATTCCAATCGTCGGAAAGTGGGGGAACTATAGTTTGGATGTGCTACGTTCTCAATTCGGGAAATCTACGTTCCCATGTCGGTGGCGCTGAACACCCAAGATTTGAGACTCAAAACCTTGGGACTGCAATAGCCGCATCTTGGGCGTTCAGCACGCCCAAGTTGGAAATGCAGCTCCTCCAAACTAAAGTCGTATCGCATTCGTACATTTTCGGTCTACTTGGAACGGCACGTCACCCAAGATTTTTTCCGTGGATACTTCATATTAATAAAAATTTGTCTCAAAAATCTATTTAATTATTTTTTCTTTTTTTTAACAACATGCATGTTATTTGTAACAGACGTTTTGTCTCTAAATTGTAATAAAGTGAAAAGTACCATTTCTCCTGTAAATAACGCCGCCAGGATTTCGAATTCCGGGTTTGTGAATAAGAAGAATTGGAATTTTTTGCATTTTTTCCTCGGAAAACCATTCATCGTTTTCCATTCCAGGGATCAAAACTTCTCGCCGCATTTTATTAATTTGACTCGTCGCTAAGCAATTCTGCGTCACGTTGCTTCTGATTTCATCATCCCAGATGCCGCTGTGATTAACAAGTTCCGGAAGCACATTTTCTTCCTGCTCCAAATATAAATCTTCAGTTTCTATTTTAAGATGCGACTTGGTTCTTTTATCTGGAGCGAAAAAGCGCGGGTCCAAAACGGTCAAAGCAATTATTGAACTGTCGGGAATTTGGTTCGGCGACTTGAGAGTTTTCAGCTTTTCAAAAATACCTTTTTGAACCTTGAAAGCTTTCACATTTTCCGGCTTGGAGTAATAATGACGGCTCCAATCATTTTCCTGGCACTCTAGCATTACTTCAGCATTTCCGTTCATCGATTTGTCAATAGATTCAATGTTCGATTCAATTCCGATGTTGGGTAATTTCAGAGCATCTGTTAAAGCACAAAGAGTCAATGGACCACTGATTCGAAATCTATTCAACGAGTTTCTAAGTATCGTCATCTTGCATTCTCCTCCATTTTTAAAAACGGGCAGTTTCATTTCCTTTGGTATTTTAAAAGCAGAGGGCATTTTATTCACATCCTTAAAGTTTTCCTCTTCAAAAATCTCCTCAGAGTCAGCAGGAGATATAAGTTGAAATTTAAAATTGGAAACGAGATCGTAAAATATTTCCTGGTAAATTCCCGGATGGATCCAAAGCCAAATCGTTGAGAAAGTAACACTTTCATTGGAATGTTCAGGTTTCCACATGAAATTGATATTTCCTAGGGGGAAATAAGGAAATTCGTCTTTTTTGTAGAACATAATAGACTTTTCTTTTTCGCCTTTAAGAAAAGATTCCTCACGAAAGTTGAAAGATGGATCACAGTGTTTTTGAAGGGATGATATCAAAATTTCCAAGGGTCCCAAAATTTCCACACAGGTATAGTAAGAAATATCCTGAATTAACGAATGAGATGCTACGGCTTTATAATTTGCCTTAAAACATTTATCATTTGGATGCTCAGCTACTTTAAATCCCCATTTTTCAATCATTTTAAACCGTTTTGCGTGCCAAATGTGAGTTTCAAGCCAGAATTTGTCTCGTTTTCGACGATTGTATTCAAGAAGAAGATTTCTTGGACGTCGACGATGCTTTCTAGAAGGGACTTTATTTTTCTCAGCTGGCAATCCGGATTTTAACATTTGATTCCGATGAGATTCCCTTAATCGTCGAGGCATCCGCTTGACATTGTGCGACATTATCCGTCTACGCATGTGTCGAGGAAGTTTTTGAAAAATTAACTTTGTTTGTTGAGGATTTTCTAAAAATAAAAATAATACTTTAATTAAATTAATTGCTGTCTTAATTTTAATTTAAAGTCACTGAACAAAATTTTAATAGCTTTCAAAAAAATGTAGGGGAGGGTGGTCCCATACCGACCCCCTAAAGTGCAAAGGCTAAAAATGTGCCAAAAATGTGTTTCTTTGTCTTAGTCAAAATTTATTTGAGTAAAGGAACTATTTTTCTATGTTTCTTTATGGTTGCCGAGGTTTCTGATTGTCATTAATAAAAGATCTAAAGAAAAATCGAAAATTTACGTTTTTAACTTTTTCAAAATAAGTGGTGCGAAACCGACCCTTTTTTTGTGGGGAATTTCAAGAATAATCAAGATATTAAATTCTGATAGTAATTTGTTAGGGTGTGCGAGTGAGTGTAGACGAATTTATCGAAATTAAGTATTTATTAAATAAACCGAGATTAACAAATTACAGGGAATGTTATTAAACATGGACTGAATAATGAACTGAACAAAAGGTTCTTTTGAATGTGTGTGTTTTTAAGTGAAAGTAAAAGAAAGGCGATTGAAGCGCAACACTGAATCTGAATATTAAAGTTCTGAGTAAAAATGTCGTAAGAGCGCGAATTACAATTCCCAACATAATTAAAATAAAAATCAACAGTCTGTAATGAACTGTTAAATTATTTTGACTTCATTTAAATACATTTTAGGGTCTTTTCTGAACAAAAAAGTAAATAAATGAATCATTCGTAACTATACTCTGAGATTATTTATGTCCATAAGTTATGTTAACTTAGTTAAACTTGAATTAATATTAATACTTTATTTAAATAACGGTAATTTTATTTGTGACACTCGTTCCGGTCTCGGGGCGCCTACGACGCCCTCGACCTCCACTCGTGTCACAAAAATCATCGTAAACAAATTGGCTGCCTTTATTCCCGTGTTACTTACGATATTTTTTATTCCTAATGCACAAAAGTGTCCATTTCAGATAGTAGACGACAGGGAATAAAAGTCAGTCACTTGTTCGACTTATATGAAAATGGCGGGCGTTTTCTCCCTTGGGCAAAAATAACGCATGGGATCAGCGGTTATGTTTGCACACGGGTGAAAATGGACGCCATTTTCATATGGTCGAACAAATGAGTGACTTTACTCCCTGTCGTCAGCTATACCTAAAATTTAAAAAAATTTTTTTAAACAATTTTTTGTTTATTTACTCCTCTCTGAGAAAAATGTTATTAACATATTTGGATTCCTTATGAATTAACCTTTAATTTCATAAAAAAAATTGATGGAGACTTAACTGGTTCCGGAGATATTGAAGTTTTTGTAAAAAATAGTCATAGTTACAGCAGCTATGCACGACTGCGGTAACGTACTACGCGACTTGTGCAGTATGGTGCTATGGCGCGGCGACGCTTTTTTTACAAAAACTTCAATATCTTCGGAACCAGTTGAGTCTTCATCAATTTTTTTTATGAAATTAAAGGTGAATTCATAAGAAATCCAAATATGTTAATAACATTTTTGTCAGAGAGGAGTAAATAAACAAAAAATTGTTTGAAAAATTTTTTTAAAATTTTTTTATTTAAAAATTAATTTTTTTTTAATAACTTTATTTGCATTTTAAAGTACATACTTTTACCTGAAAAATGTGTAAATTTCATAAAAATCCATAAACAATATTTCGAGGTTTTCAAAATTTTATAAAATTAATATTAAAATTCAAAATGGCGTATCTTCAACAATTTTGAATTTTTGTTTTTTAAATTTGGGGGAAAGAAGTTTCTTATATAGAACTATAATCCCACGAAGTTTTGCGAAAATCGGTATACCCTTTGCAAATCGTGATATTTCTGACGTGAAATGCCTCGTAAACAAAAAAATTTTTTTTTTATTTTTTATTAAAAAAATTTTTTTTTGATAAACAAATTAATTTTTTTTTATTTTTTTTAAATTTATTTATACCTTATAATATAGAGAAGATTTTTCAAAAAGTCCTGAAATGGGCCTGATGTGTTAAATGAGTTTTAAAACATTTTCAAAAATCACTTGCAAGCATCACAGTGGGATTTTTTTTACAATTAACTTTTTAAAACCGTCTACAGCGTATAATTTTTAATCTATTTGAGTGTTCTTTGTTTTAAATTAAAGGGTCTACGCTGTAGACAGTTTTAAAAAGTTAATTGTAAAAAAATCCCACTGTGATGCTTGTAAGTGATTTTTGAAAATGTATTAAAACTCATTTAACACAACAGGCCCATTTCGGGACTATTTGGAAAATCTTCTCTATACTATAAGGTATAAATGAATAAAAAAAAATCCTGCCCAAAGTTAAAAAAATTTTTTTTGTTTACATTTCTTAAAAGTCGAAAGAAAACTAAAACTTTCATTTTTTGACAACTTTTTGCTAAACTCAATATTTTCGGACTTATAAGCTACTGAATATAGGTCTACAATTAAAAATTCAAAATTTCGAAAATTCATAACTCAAAAATTTGGACAATTAAACAAAAATAAAAAAATACGTATCTGTTTTTTTCGATACAGAATAGAAAAAAAATATTTTTGGCCGCTTTTAAAAGGTCGACTTAAATCTCACATATGTAAATATATATTAATTCATAATAATATAATTTTATTCATAAAGCAGATAATTCAGGATTTTTTAAGATTTTTTTGTTATAAATTTAAATACATAAATCGATTCGTTTTTGTGCAAGGAATATAATTTTGTGAAGAATTATAATTAAAATTTCTATAAGATAAAAAGTTAATTCAAAAAATACAAAAATATTTTCTTTCAAAAATTAAATAATTTATTCTCTATTTAGGTAGGGGAGACTGGGGTAAACCCGCTCACTTTTTTCAGATCGGATAAAATCTAGGAAATTATTCTCTAAATCCAAGTTAATTTATATCATTTGAAAGCTTATGATTTCTACTAAAAAAATAAAAAAGAGTTTTTGATTTATCTTTTTTAGTTTTACTTAGAGAAACTTTTTAATAAACATATACCAAATTTCGAAATCACAATTTTCCAGGGTAAACCCGCTCACTTTATCTTTTCTAGACGGAACAGTTTTATTTTTTAAATATTAAAGTTCGTCTTATTCCCGTCTTAAGTATGATTTATTATTGATAATTTATGAGTTATATAAACAATTCTATAAACAACAAATTGGTTTAATAAATAATGAACATAGATTTCATGAATTACAACTATGGATTTAAATAGTGTTATATTTTATTAAGAGAAAGTGAAATGTAGTTATAATTTTGGTTTTAATAAGTCATAAATAGTGTTATTGTTGAAATATAATACGTAAAATTATTTTATTCTAAATTTTAAATTTAAAACTAAGTGAGCGGCTTTACCCCGACTTCACATAAGCGACTTTACCCCGAGTGTATTCCTCACATTTCAGAATAAATTTAATTAAATCTTTTTAAAATAAGACAAAACTATATATGTACTTCGATGAAGGACATCCAATAGCAACAAAAAAAATTTGCCAGATAAATTAAGACTCAAAAATAATGATCGAAAAACTTAAAAATCCAAAATACGTTTTTTTTCTGACACCTCTAAAAACATTTGATCGTCTCTGATTCTGTGTTGAATTCATGAAACTAAACGAAAGTTCGTTAATATAAGTTGAATGTTAAGTACTATTCACAGTATCAATATCTCCATCTTAAGTTGAGTTCATCGCGTTAAATCGCTAGTGAGCGGGTTTACCCCAGTCTCCCCTACATTCTCGGCAATTTCCGGGTCGCTAGTCACTTTTTCTATATTTACTAGCGTCATATTCCTCGCTCGCTCGGAAGACATTTTCTTATTTATTTCCACTTACATAAATAGTTTTTGAGGTAAAGTGATTTCATATTTGTAATCTGTGGCCCCATAAGCTTCCGAGTAACACGTTTTAACCTTCGCGCTACCAAAGATTTTTGTATACGCGGACTACCGGACAGCCACCCGGGGTGGCTAAACGCTATTTTACTTTTATGTTCCCAAAACGATTAAAATTCATCAAACGTTTTGTATATAATTATGTGTTAATACAAATACTGTATTTTAATAATGTTTTATGACATTTATGACATAAAACATTTATCAGGGTGTCTAGCGAATTATGATTTTCAAATTCCCGGCAAAATCCCGGATTTCCCGGACCTAAAACTAAATTATTCCCGGATTTATTTTTAAAGACATTAATGACTATATACGATTAAAATTTCATAATTTTTTAAATACAGTGAAAACTGAATTATCCGAACTAATTCAGGCAGGATTTGGTTCAGATAATCAAAAGTTCGAATAATAGAAATTGCAATTATTTTCGTTTATATAAATGATCGTTTCGGAATTATTTTGCAACATCCAATGGCATTTATGTATTCTTTTAGATATTTACATTAAAAGTCACTGAGGTTCAACTGCAATAAGTTAAAAACATTAGGATTTATATTTAAACTTTCAATTTAAGTTTTCTAAATTCAATAGTTTTAGAGTTGTAGATAATTGAAAACAAGTGTACTTTTAAAAATCCAAACATTTCGTTACCTATAAAAAATGAAAAAATAGATTTACAATAATATATTTTCATCCTAATTGAAAATGTGAACTGAAATTTAACGTGAAATTGACTATTACCTATAATATATCTTTTTAAAATTTTTGAAAAATATAAGACTGAAGGTAGTTCTCCGGCTTCTATACACTTGTAAAAATTTATTTTCTTCAAATTTTGAGGAAAAATGTTTCTTCGGGTGCCCTTTAAATGTGGTAAAAATTTCAAAACCCTTTGCGATGCTAAATTTTGACTTATTCAAGTTCAAACTTTTACTTTTCCATGCGATTATGTTAAAAATAAAAAATGTCAACCACAATATCTCGTTTTTTGACATGGCAAAAGGTTTTGAAATTTTTACCACATTTAAAGGGTACCCGAAGAAATATTTTCTCAAAATATGAAGAAAATCTATCGAAAATTAATTTTTAAAAGAGT